CACTTGGGGCTACAAAAATGAGTTAAAGAAATTCAAATGGCTGTTTTCTTTGTTGTAGTTTGTGTATTTGCTGTTTGGAGAGGCTGCTCCTCGCGCCTCTAAGGGGATCTTCTTGTATCTATTCATTATTTTAATGGAATTGATGTTATTTATCAAAAACAAAAAACAAACTACATAAATGAGGTGCATAAATATATAGGATATAATTCTTTATGCATGTATGTCAAGAGTTCCTAGTCACTAAACAATTGATGGACCATGGACCCACTAATATAGAATCAAAGTAACAAATTGCTCATTTCAAAAGTGCAGATCACCTTCTGGACTAGCTAGGATGCCAAAAAAATCAAACTATGAATATCACAAGAGATGACAATGTAGTCTGAATTTTGACCTCATGCAGCAAGTGTCACCCATTGATGCAAGATTAAGAATTTCTTAATTTTCATTGATCAACATATTAATGAAGGAAGAGAGATACAAACAAGGAAACATGGCTAAAGAGACCTGAGCCTCTAAAAAGCACTACCATAAAAGTCCAGACTCCAGATCAAATGCACTGCTCATTGGTGAGATCCACTGCATCTAAATCTTCTGATAAGGGGGAGGATCTGATCAGGTCACCTCATGTGAGGGAGGTTTAGAATTATATGCATAACCAATGGCCACGTCTCATGCAATAACTAACTAATAACTACTTTATACACAATATGCATCAATTCTCTTCTACAAATATCTTAGGTACATGTTCTAACAACTTTTTTTTTTGATAATTGAAGTATGGTTTTATTAACAGGAAATGAGAACTACTACAAGCATCCCAAGGAGAGGCACGAGATGTGACCTCTCCTTACAAGGAAGGTTACATCTTAAACACTAGAAAAGGGATTACAAAGCAGTCCAATACACATTTTCCCTGATAACCCTTGTTTGGCAAACAATCAGACGAAGCATTCGCTGATCTATCCACCCAATGACAGCTAATGTTCATGTTTCTCGTTAACCACTCAGCTTTTTTTTAAGAGATCCCTGTAGCACCAAAACACTGAGTCCAAGTCTACCAGACACCTCACAACAACTTTAGAGTCTCCTTCAATTATTAGATTTTCCAAACCTAGCTGATTTGCAATTTGGATACTGATAGGCCCTCGACTACCCTTTCGGGCCCATCACAGGAGACCCAGGCCCACGACATGCAGCAGCCAGGCCAAGCACGAGAGAGGCACTCGATCTCCCATGTGCAACCACCACTGAGGTTTGTTTACGTGAGGAGGCCACGTCCCTCCAGTTAGTTAGCCATCTCAGTCAAGCCATGTGCAGGAGAGGCTGAAGAGAGAGTATAAGTATTGTATTACCTCACCAATTCTGGGCATGAAAAATGAAACCCTACTGATCTCCTCCATCTCTCCTCCTCTCTTCTTCCTTTCTCTTCTTCCTCTCCTCTACTCTACTCTGTTTTCAGGAGGGTGAGCTCCCTCGAACCAGCTCAGGTTTTCAGAATATCGAAGTGATCTTATCAACTGGTATCAGAGCTTAGCACTGATGACTAATACGAGATCCACTGCAGTAGATGATCGTGTTGATCGAATTGAAGTAGAAGTTCACCGAACCACATCAGAAATGAAGGACATCAAGGAGACCTTGTCGGCACTGGTGGGGCAGTTCGAGCGACTATCCACACCCACAGCGAGGGAACCAGAACCAGAAGGATCCAGTAGCAGTGCGGGTAGACGTGGCGGGATCTCCCCAAGCAAGATGACGAAGATCATATTCCCAGTTTACTCAGGTGATGATCCGGGTACCTTGGATTTATCGGGCTGAATGGTATTTTGAATATCATGAGACCCCAGCGCACCAACGAGTGCCTATTGTCTCTATCCACCTCGATGGAGAGGCCATTATGTGGTACCAATGGTACCGAAAAACACACCCCCAGACTACTTGGATGAACTTCACCGAAGCCTTACGAGTGAGGTTCAGACCATCTGGGTATGAAAATTCTGATGAATCCTTGTCCCGCGTCAAACAGACTGGTAGCGTGCAGGAGTATCAGACTGAGTTCGAGAGATTAGCCACCCGTGTGCATGGTTGGCCGGAAACGGCTCTACTTGGCTGTTTCATCGGGGGTTTATGGGAAGACATAAGGATTGAAGTAAAAGCATTGCAGCCTTCAACTCTTATCTCTGCTATCGGGCTAGCTAAACTCCAAGAAGACATGCTAAACCGATTAAGAAAAACCACTAGACTGATTGGTCCAGCGGTTGGACCCCTGTTACGAACCCCACCCGGTCGAGCAGATTCAGCTCTAGGACCCTTACTTCCCACCCCGGGCACTAAACCAGAAGCCCCAGCACCCAAGAACCCCGGGACCATGGTAGTACCTTACAAGAAGTTATCCTGGACCGAGATGCAGGCCCGTCGAGAAAAAGGGTTGTGTTACAATTGTGACAAAAAATTTACCAAAGGGCACCGGTGCAAGACCCCACACCTCTACCTATTGCAGGTTGAAGAGGAGGATGCCAACTGTGAACGGGAACCGGAAGTTGGAACCAATGAAGCAGTCCCAACTACGGAAATTGAATATTATGTGATTTCTTTGCAAGCTCTATCGGGATGTCAGAGCCCACGTAACATGAGGGTGGAAGGGTGGGTTCAGGCCAAAAAGTGGCTATCCTAATGGAAGTTCTCTAAATTTTATCACCCCCGGGTGAATCCAGAGACTCGGGTTGGAGTGGAACCCATAGCTCCCTTTGCTGTTAGCGTGGCCAGTGGGCAAGGAATCAGATGTGAGGGAAAATGTAAATCAGTTAGGCTTAAAATTCAGGGGTACCTCTTCACTATAGACCTGCACCCTTTTGAATTTTCAGGGGCTGATATAGTTCTGGGCGTCGAATGGCTTCAACAATTGGGCTCAGTAATGTGCAATTGGGCTGACCTTACAATGCAGTTCCAACATGAAGGACTCACCTGCATATTAAGGGGAACCAGACATGTCTCGGCCACAGCCGAACCTCCCCACCTCATTCTCAAGAGCTGTCAATACTCGGATACCCCCTTGCTAATGAGTATGGGCCCCATGCCTCTTGGGCCAACATTGACTGTTGATGATATTATAACCCACAACCCGTTGCAGCCGGACCAACTCCAACAGCTCCTGAGCGAATACAAGGACGTATTCCAAGAGCTATTTGCTC